ACACTACTTGAACCATATATTATATATTTATATATTGTTAAAACTTTTTTCATTTCTTTTCATGCATATTATTGTTCTATAGTTTTCATTTCTTCTAATGTTTTTGATGAATTGGCAAATATTTCCTCTTCAGATTTCTAAAGAATTTATATAGAATTTTTTTCCTTTAAGTATTTGATAGAATTTGTCATTGAGGTCATCTAGGCCTGAAAATTTCTTTTTCTTCCTTTCTCCCTTCTTCTTTCTTGGTTACCATTGAGAAATCTGTCACTCTTACTGTTTTTCCTCTATGCTATCATGTCACATGTCACTGTTTTCTGGCTGATTTCAGATTTTTTTCTATCAGCTGGTTTGGTTCCATTTAGTTATGATAAGCCTTAGTGTATTTTTCTTCATTTTTTTGTGTTCGGGGTACTTTGAGTTCGTTAGATCTGTGGGTTTACAGTTTCCATAAAGTTTAGAAAAACTATGGCTACTATTTTTTTGAAATATTTCCCCCTGTCCTTTATCTCCTGCTTTTTAAGGACTCCAATTCTCATTTATTAAGTCGTTCCACAACTCATTCCTGTTCTGTTCTCTTTCTCTTTTTTCCCCTCTATTTTAATTTGGTTAGTTTTTGTTGCTATGTCTTCAAGTTCACCCATCTGCCATATCTAATCTGCTGTTAATCCCATGTAGTAAATTTTCATCTCAGCCATTATGGTTTTCATATCTAAATGTTTAATCTGGGTCTCTTAAAGTATCTTTTAATGTCTCTAGAAATTAACATATTTAACCTTTAGTTTCACAAAACTGTGTTCTCTGGAGATAAGGAAACATTACAGCAATGCCTCAGGTCAGAAATGCTTCTCTTCACGAACAACACAATCCCAGCCATCTGCCCTGCATGCGCATGAATGCGGCCATCTTCCTCGCTCTGAGATGTGGCTGTGGCATCCTCTTGGTGAGATCGTGGTCACAGACAGAACTGTGCACACTTACTGCGAAGCCTTTTTGTGTGCTTGTTAGCACTTCCAATACTGTACGGTGTTATTCGGTCCAGCATGGCTCAGACACAGTGTAGAGCAAGCGTGGTGGTAAAAAAAAATGTGCAGAGTGGTAATGAAGGTGACTACAGTGTGCAGAATAATAATGGTAAGAGGAAGGTTTAGAATAAAATAACCATTGAATTGAAGGAAGTTATAGAAAAGCATGAGCATGGTATTTGTGTGACTGATGTGGTTTTGGAGTACAAGGTGGCAAAGCTGACAATCTCGCCTTTAATTTTGAAGAATAAAGATGCCATCAAAGGAGCTAATGTGGCAAAAGGAGTAACAATGTTAACTAAGCAGAGGACACAGGTGCTGGAAGAGGAGGAGACTTTTGTTAGTGTGGCAGAATGACAGCTGGCAGGTGTTAGAGTTAGTGAAGTTATGACCTGTGAAAAGGCCAGGAAATTGCACAGTGATTAACCTCAAGAAAACCTCTCTACAAGTGCAACAGCTGATGAGTTTAAATCCAGTAGAGGGTGGTTTGATAAATTCTACAAGAGAAGTGGCATCCATGGTGTGATAAGACATGGTGAGGCTTCCAGTTCTGACAAGGCCTCTGCAGAAAGCCTGAAGAAAGAATTGGAGGAATTCATGAAGGCAGCAGGATGCGTCTCTCAAGTGTTCAACTGTGATGAAAGAGCATTCTTCTGGAAGAAGATGCCAAACAACCTGTATCACACAGGAAGAAAAGACACTGCGAGGGGACGGCCCTCAAAGGGCAGATTCACCCTTTTGCTGTGAACTCGAGTGCTGACCTGAAGATTAAGCCACTGCTGGTGCACCGTCCCAAGACCCCATGTGCATTCAGGGAACAGAATGTAGACAGGGCCAAACTATCATGTGGAGGGCCAGTGTGAAAGCTTGGGTCACGAGGCCAATGCTCACGGATGGCTGCGTGAGGTGTTTGCACCCACCATTAGGAAATCTGTTTCTAACAATCAGCTGCTGAAAGGTGCCTTCTTCTGATGGACAGTGTCCAGCACACCCTCCAGCTTTGGTGGATGTTATGGGTGCTGACTATGATTTTATAAAGGTGAAGTCCCACCCCCCTCAACATGACACCTCTTCGGCCCACGCGTGGACCAGCAAGTGATCTGTAACTTCAAGAAGCTGTATACAAAGGTGCTCTTCACCAGGTTTTAATGTCACTGAAGAGACGTCCTTGACTTTGAAAGAGTTCTGGAAGAAACATTTCAGTGTCCTCTCCTGTATCAACCTCACTGACAGAGCCTGGGAAGATGTCACATACTGAGCCTTAAACTCATCCTGGAGGAAACTGTGGCCAGAATGTGTCAATGATTGTGACTTTGAAGGGTCTGATACACAGGTGGAAAGGAGATTGTGTCCATGGGCAGGAGTATGGGTCTGGATGTTGATGGGGCAGACACAGAGGAGCTTGGTGAGGACCACAGGGAGGAGCTGATGACAAAAGGACTTGCCGAACTCCAGAGTGAGCAGCAGAAGGTGCTTGTTGAGTAGAATTCCACGGAGGAAGAGGAAGACAGAGAGGAGGTTAGCAGTGAGGTGATAAAATCCATTACAGAAAGATGGGATGAGTGCCAGGATTTCTTTGGAAGCACCTGCCCAGCATAACTAATGAACAGTGTTGAAGCTGATGAATATGGTCTCATTTCTGGGGGTTTATGCACTGTGGGAAAAGACAGGTGACATTAAACAGATTTTCATCAGAATTGACCCTGAAGAGCAGAGCCGAAGAAGAGAGGAAGCCCATGAAGCAGATCTCCTCATGTCCTTCTGGAGGGGGCTCTTTCTCCAAACAGCCGCCTCCTCATTCCACACCAGAAGTCACCTCAAGCGAGGTCAGTATTCTCTCTTCATGCTGTAATGTATTGTTTCAAACTACGTATAGTTCAGAATGGATTAACCTTATTTACTTTGACCCTAATGGAAGAATTGGATTTGGCTTGGAACCAGAATCATGGAACAAATTGAGTTTGTGAACCGAGGTACCACTGTATTCTAAAGAATACAGTTACAATAACTTTTCATATCCTTGTCTGCTATTTCTGGTATCTGTGTCAGTTTGGGATAGATTTTTATAGAATGACTGTTCCTTATGAATATATTTTCCTCCTCCTCTAAAAGCATGATGATTTTTCATTCAGTGCCAGACATTGCACATTTTACTTTGTTGGGTGCAGAACATTTACATATTTCTATAATTACTCCTCAGTTTTGAATTTTATTCTGAGATGCCATTGACTTAGTTGGGGTTAGTTTTGTTCAGCTCTTATTCTTAAAATTTGCGAAGTTTGGGGCTGGGATGTAGCTCAGTGGTAGAGCACTTGCCTGGAATACACCAGACCCTGGTTCAATTTCAGCATTGAAAAAAAATTTTTTTTGTTATATTGGACCAGAGCAGTGTTTAGAGCAGTGGTGGCAAACCTATGGCATTGTGTGTCACAGTTGGCACACAGAGCCCTCTGTCAGCAGGAGAGCCAAGTTGCCCCAGCATCGCCCCAGCATGGATAACAGCTTTGGATGACAGTGTACAAAAGCACACCAAATGCAGACTTTTACCTTTCAATAAAAATCTGTTGTATCGTTAGAAGCTCTGTTATTGTGTTTTTCTTTTAAGACAGAAGATGCTAACGTATGAGTTGCTTTTTCTAAAACCTCAGTATTCAGGTGTAATTGCAGTATTGGCACTTTGCATTAAGTGGGTTTTGGGTTGCATTGGTCTAGAAAAGGTTCACTGACACTGGTTTAGGGGTGATTGCCTTCTGCTTCTGAAGGGAAGACCTGTCTCAGTATGCTACCCAAAGTTCCATGACCTATGGTTTTTACTGGGTTGGTCAGAGTCTTCACTGTTCTTTATCCTGGACAAGCTCTACTGTTGTTCCCTTGGACACTTTTAGCTGATTCTTTTCCCCAGCCTTGGGATATTTCCTCACATGTACATACTGGTCAGCACTCTGTCGAACTTATCAGAGGGCACTCTGTACAGATCCTGGGGTTGTTTGTGTGACATGTTCTCTACTCTGGTCAATGTGATCTTCCTAGATTTTAGCTCCATCTGCTCATATCAGAATCCATCAGACTCCAATTTGGCTCCCCCTCCCTTCACTTAAGCAGGTCAGAAGGAGCAGAGAAGGTGACATCTGCTCCATGGGCAGGTTTCAGAGGCTTTGGGTACTGCATGGAAGAGTCAGGATTCAATCCTGTAAGATATGTCAAGGCTGTATTTCAGGAAGATGCAAGTGACATGAGCCAGTCCTTGGTGAATCTGTTAAGGAAGGGATGCTTAGTTTGCTACCAGTCCACGGGTCACTGTAGAAGTTGCTCTTCATGGCTGAGTCCTCACCCAGAAATGGATGGATCTTGATACTAATCAAATTACTGACCCCTTAGTGGCCAGAGATGGTTTCTTTAGAAAGTCCCAAGGGTGACCAGTGACAACATGGCACAATACAAGAAAGATTCACCCCCTTGCTTTGGACTTATTTTCCTACAAAGGGGAAGGGTTGGGGAGCCAGGCCTCCATCTCATGATTCACTGGGGTGTGGCTGAAGGAGAATGGATTGATAAGTGATCGGCTTTGCTTCTCTAGATATGTCTTAGACTAACAGGGGTGCATCAGGAGGAGAATGTAGATTATACAGCCCAATCCACAGCTATGGTCAGAATCTGCACTGTAACCAGAGCCTTGGCTGATTCCTTTGCTGGTTAATGTTTGAAAAGCTCTGTTCCAGGCTGGGCATGGTGGTGCACACCTGTAATCCCAGCACTCGGGAGGCTGAGGCAGGAGGATTTCTGTGAGTTCAAGACCACCCTGGGCTACATAGTGAGTTCCAGGTCAGTGTCAACTACATAGTGAGACTCTGTCTCAAAAAACCAAAAGAAAAAAGAGAAAGAAAAGCTCTGTTCCAGAACCAGTGGTTACACATGCCCTCCAGTGGCTGCCTAGCAGCTTGCAAGGAGTTTAAAAAAAGCATGTTCTCATTTTAGGACCTTTGCACAGAACTGCCGAAACATTGAACATTTAAACCTCAATGGGTGCACAAAAATCACTGACACGTAAGTAATGAGGATGAGTTTGGGGGGTTAAGTGGCTGTGGGGAGGGTTGGGGAGAGAAACCTGGTTGAAAATATCTTTAGTGCATCTACTCTTTTTCAGCACGTGCTATAGCCTTAGCAAATTCTGTTCCAAGCTGAAACACTTGGATCTGACCTCCTGCGTGTCGATTACAAACAGTTCCTTAAAATGCATCAGGTAGGAGTGCCTATTGTTCATGGCCAAGAAAATACTGAAATGGTGACCATTCTGCTTTACCTGAGGCCTTCCTAATGGTGCCGTTAGCACAAGAAATTGGCAGTTCTATGAGTCCTAGGGCTGTCTCCCTCCCAGAATGGCTGTGGCGTCCTATATTGAATGTTGCTAATACGACTCTGCACAGGAGAGAGTGGACAGAGGTGTTTCCCTTCCTTGTTTTCTCAGTGAGGGCTGTGGAAACTTGGAGTACTTGAACCTGTCTTGGTGCGATCAGATCACGAAGGATGGCATTGAGGCGCTGGTGCGCGGCTGTCGGTGCCTGAAAGCCCTGCTCCTGCGGGGCTGTACACAGGTACCCAAGGGGCATTGTGGCTGTCGTCTTGTGCGTCAGGGAGCTTGCTGTTACCTGGATCTCATCCTCTTCTGCTTTCTCTGCTCAGTTAGAAGATGAAGCTCTGAAACACATTCAGAATTACTGCCATGAGCTCGTGAGCCTCAACCTGCAGTCCTGCTCAGTAAGTAGAGCTGCTGGCCCCGGCCTTCTCCCATGGGAATCTGCGGTGGCCCCTGCAGGAAGCCCTGTGCAGTGATGACACCTGGCCACGTTGCCACACCCTGATTTGTCTTCCTAGGTCCTTATATGGTCTATCTTATCACGAGATGAAAGAAAAACAAGGCATGATTATAATATAAATCCACTATCTCCCCTAAAAATAATATAAATTTGCTCTTGATTTTTTTTTCAGAGTATTGAAAATATAAATGCTGTGAAATTGCTACTAGTTGTTAGACCTGAACAGTTCATAATAAGATCTCAATTTTTCTTTTCTTTCTTTTTTGGTAATTTATACATTGGGGATGATGCTGGGCGTGGTAGCACATGTTTGTAATCTCAGCACTCAAGAGGCTGAGGCAGGAAGACTGCTTCAAGTTCAAGGCCAGACTGAACTGCACAGCAAGAACCTGTCTCAATGCACCACCCCCAAATTAAATAAATTGGGGATAGTGACATACCTAATTTTACAGCAGATAAAACAGAATAACAGATGTGAAAATGCTTTGAAAAATAAAGGGCATATGCAAGAGCATAGTAACATTTTCATCAGGACATAGCTTATAAAAAACACTTGGTTCTTCACTGCTGAGTAGATGTTGATAAGTAAAAAGGATGTGTGTAGTAGCCTCCAGGCTTTTTCAGGGATGTGTAGATTTTGAGAAAGGTAAGAGAAAGCCCTTGCATTTGGCTTTTAAATCTGTAGAGTCCCTGATGGTAGAAGAGAAACAAACTATCTTCTGGACAAGTCTTGCCTTTATGGACCTGTTCGAAAGTAGATCCTCAAACCTCATGTAGGGAAGATTGGCAGACAGCTTAAAGTATAATATAGGTGTACATGTTTATTTCCATGTGAAATAGTATATTTAAGATACTAATTTGAATTTTCATGACTTGAGTGCTAAGGCATTTATCAATAACTGATTTAATTTTCCCATCCTCTAAAAACATGAAATATAAATTTACATATATATGGTTATTTGGTGAATAAGGCATTAATCTGTAGACTGTCAGCCAAATATTAATCCATTGTTTAGCTCACCAGGTCTCTTGAGCTCTTCATTTAATCTGATGTTTTATCATCAGGAATTTTTCCTTGAAAAAAATCAAATTTTAAAAAATGTGTTAAATTAATTATGTCTTCCACTTTTATTAGTAGTGTTTGCAGTGCACAGTGACTCCATTCACTGTAGCAGATTGGTACATGTGGCATAACATTTCAGTTCCCTTCTTTCTCCCTCGTCCCTCCACCCACCAGTCAAATCTGCACCTGTTTTTATAACTCTTGAAAATACAAATCGAATCTTTAACTTTCTGTTAGTAAAGCTAGAATATTTCAAAGCTGTGCAGAGATAATGCAAGTATGTGGCTGCCCTCTGCCTCTCCCTAATTTATTAGGAGAAAGTGAGAGTAACTGGCAACAAACTAATGAAGCAATTTGTAGATCTTATTTTTCTGCTCTCCTCTTTCAGTATTGATGTCCTCTAGCATTTTTTCCTGAACTTTTTTCTCCAGCGCATCACAGATGAGGGTGTGGTGCAGATCTGCAGGGGCTGCCGCCAGCTGCAGGCCCTCAGCCTTTCTGGGTGCAGCAACCTGACGGACTCGTCGCTGGCAGCCCTGGGTTTGAACTGCCCGCGCATGCAGTGAGTATGTCATACTCAGCAGGAAGGGTCTGGACGAGCAGAGTGGTCAGGGGCTGCTGGGGTGGCTTAGTGCTTGTGGAGTGTTGGGTTTGATTTCATGAGAAAAAAGAGAGAAGGGGAGTGAACAGAAATGGGAGAAGAGGAGAGGAAAGAAACCAACCAACCTGGCCAGAAGACACGTCGGAAGTACTGCTGTAAGGGAGAGAAATGTTACGCATTTTCTCCTCGTAATCATGGGTAATAGAATTCCTTCATGGTTTTCATTGCCTATTAGAACCTTTAAATTTCCTTTTGGGTAACTCGTAGTTTTAATAAATTTGACAATGACTTTGTTGTGTAAAAATTCATCTTCACATATTAGACATTTATAAGGAATGTGCTGGTACGGTGGGAAGATTCCTGGATTTACTGCTTGTGTTTGGATGACTTTAGAGGCTCGGGCAGGTTGCATTCCTGCCTAGGCCTCCCTGAGCTCGTTGTTGTTCAGTAGGGGTAGTTTTTGTACTTCACAATTCTTAGAGCTAGAAGCAAGTGTGTCAAAGAGCAGAAGGAACTCCAGAGCATGCATAGTAAGTTTGTGTTTCTGTTGTTAACCAGCTGATACTTTCTCTTCCCTTCATGCGCACTTCACTCCCAGAATCTTGGAGGCTGCCCGATGCACTCATTTGACTGATGCAGGCTTTACACTTTTAGCTCGGGTAAGGGATAGGTTTTTTAAATCAAACCAAACTGTAATCCACTTTCCTGTTTCAAAGATTGGAGGTGGCAAGGCATGGCACACACCTGTAATCCCAGCACTTGAGAGGCTGAGGCAGGAGGATCACCATGAGTTCAAGGCCCACCTGGGCTACTCAGTGAGTTCAAGGCCAGCCTGAACTACATAGTTTGACCCTGTCTCAAAAAACAAACAAACAAAAAAGACTTGGGGTGGTTTAGGTACAAAAAGCTAGCTTCAGAAAACCCAAGCACAAAGTCAAACAGAGCCCTAGGGATGTGCTTTGCATTTTTCTAGTTGACCAGAAATCCGGCAAGATCCCATGGAGGATTCTGGAATGGTCTAGGCCTCCTTCCCACTTGGTCAAGAGACACCCTTCCCATATGGACCCCAATCCAGCCTCCCTGCATCTTCCTCTAACTGGGCTGTGCTCTGCCCTCTACTCCATTTTCAGCACTGCCTGTGAGCACAGACCACCACAGTCACTCTGAGAGCCTCTGTGGGATGGAGGCCGGGAGGCTGTGTCCTGGGTATGCTGATGTACTCCTCTTCCTTCCGCTCCCTCCTCCCCCTAGTGTGGATGAGGGCCCTATTTCCATACCCAGTGGGTATGTCTAGGAGCCAATGGGAAGGTGTGAGCAACTCTCCAAGTTGACAAAAGCAAATGTAGCCAGGGTAGCCCCATTCCTTTTCCCAAGCTGCCTGTGACTTGAAAGGGCACCAGCTCAGAAGTGCTGGTTCCCTGGATGCTCCATGAGCAGGGTGTACTATTTAATGGAAGAGACTAGGACCCTGGATGGTACTCAGAGGAACAGAATGAGCATCCAGTGTTGCCCTTCTGGCGACCCACAGAGCAGATGTGTCTTGTGGACTCTTTCAGAATTGCCATGACCTGGAGAAGATGGATCTTGAAGAATGCATCCTGGTGAGTGGACTCCCAGACCCTGAAGGGTCCCTGATTGAGCTAGGAACACAGACCACCTGTGTCCCCAACCCTTCCTCCTCAGTTTAACGGGTAGGGTTAAGGGAACCCTCTAGGGCCATGGTAGTGGGACGTGTAAAGTTATGGCTGTTGCCAGTCCTCAGACAGAACAGCAAATAAATTCAAGATAGCTCCTTCATTTGTAAGGATTAAAATGAAAAAAGCCTCCTTTTATTTTTTCACAGACTTTAAGGGAGGAATAAGTTCGCATGTCCAGTGCTGAGGAGGCTCCAAGGAGCTCTTCTTGCCTAGTCCCTCTTCGTCCCCTGCCCCTAGGTCCCCTTGAAGCACCAGCGGTGAGACCAAAGGACAGTTCTACATGTCCAGGAGAGCAGACACATTTGAGGGTGCTGGTGAAGACAGGCGCTCCCAGCCAGTGTGTTTGGGTGAACTTTTAATTCTCTTTCGTACCTTTTGAGGCCCATGTTCAGGAGAAGCCAGGGTTGGGTAGAGTGTTCCGTTCTGGCTTAGAGGCCACACTGACACAGCATGTTTTTCTCCAGATCACCGACAGCACACTCATCCAGCTCTCCATTCACTGTCCTAAGCTGCAAGCCTTGGTGAGTCTTTGGAGGTTTTTTAATGACATTATTCACCTCTTAAGAATGAAAGGACCCTGCAGCAACAGCAGAAATTGGTGTGGGTTCTCATCTTTAAAGGCACCATCAGTGATGATGATCAGGCTCACAGCCAGCTTGGGTAACACAGCAAGCCCCTGTCTCAAACAACAAAAGAGCAGTCTTCAAGACTACAGAAAGAAGACAGAAATTGTTGATACGGAGAGTGACGTGATATATTACTAGACTTGCAAGACACCAAAAGAAAAATCAGAGAATATAAGTTGCAGAACCCTTATCTGAAACGAGCGGGGCTACACAAGTGTTTTGGATTTCAGATTTTTTAAAATTTTGGAATATTTTTGTATGCATAATGTATCTTGGGGATGGGACTCAATCTAAACACAATTCGTTTTATACCTTACACATCTTTTATACCCAACAGTTTAGGCATGGAATTTTCCATTTGTAGCATCTTGGTGTTCAAAAAGTATCCGATTTTGGAGAATTTCAGATTTGCAGTTTAGGGATCCTCAACATTTACTAGAAACAGTTATATAAATTTTGACCACGTAAGTCAAATGGAGAAGCAGCTCATATGATATAAAACAGATAATAGCTATAGAACTGCTAAAGAAATTGAATTTCTAATTATAAACCTCCTCTAAAAGAAATATCCAAACCCAGATGGTTTCACTGGAAAATGTACCAAACATTTTAAAGGTATTTATACCAATACTACACAGTCTCTTCTAGAAAACAAATGAGAACAATATGTTATCAACACCAAACAAAAAAACAGTAGCAAAAAAAAAACTACCTATTAGTATCCTTCATAAATATGGAAGCAGAAAAACAATTTGATAAATCGTAAAGAAAAAAATTTTAAGTGCCAAGAATACAAGAGGAAAATCTCCCTATTTTAAACCCCCAGTGACCATTCTGCTCCCAAGGACAGCTGCTTGGCCAGTTGTCTGTATCCTAGAGGTTGTGTGCAGAACCTGTGCACCCCGCCACCCATCTCCCGTTGTGTCACTGTACCCATGGGAGCAGAAGACACCTGCAGAGGCCACCTCAGAGCAGTTCCACCTCCTGCTTTGCATCTGCCATCGTGACCGCCCCTGCCACCTCTGGCTCAGTAGCAGTGTAAGCTGCTCCCTCTGGGGTGCATCATTCCCAGTCAGCCCTTCTACACAACGCCTTCCAACTTTTCGGGAATATCCTCCCACCTGACGCTTCTATAAACAGAAACCAAACCAGCCTTGCCCTGTCATCTGCTGGGGATGAGTGGCCATGCAGGGCAGTGGAGAAAGGCTGAGGCCCCCCTGAGCAAGCTGTGATTGGAGGGCTCAACTTCTTTCAGCTGCAGTATCTACGTCTGTAAAACTGGACTAATTCACGGCAGGGTTGTTTTGAAGAGTAAATGAGATACTACATACACGGTGGTGGCTCAAAGCAGATGGATTTGTTGGCTGCTTTGCTGTGTAAGTCGTGCTGGCCAGATTTTGCTTGGGCTTGAAACAGAAAAAGGGTTGCTCTGATTCCTTAAATGAGTTTTGGAAATTTATATACTGGTACTTATACATACATCGACTTTTCAGTTAATTTAACGGTGTCTCCCTGGTCCCAGAGGCTACTGTTAACTTCTTGGTTTCTCTCAGTTCCCCGACATTAAAAAAGGGTGGCATCCATATATTACCTCCACCCACCCTTTCTCCAAACTGTGAATATATACATGTATACACATGTATGGTTTGTTTAGTTGTATTTTATAAATAATCCAATTTTTGGTGGTGCTGGGAGAATCAAACCTATGGTCTCAAGTATGCTAGGCAAGCACTTTACCACTGTGTTACAATCCCAAACCCAGAAGGTAGGTCTGAGATTGGTGGGCTGGCAGTCTGGTGTGTGTGTGTTGTTTGCTGTATCATCTCACGGAGAAAGACAGAAAGGCAAAGGGGCAGGGGAGAAAGAAAACTTGCAGCCTGGATCCCTTTTTATAACTGGCATTAATACATTCATGCAGGTGGCACTGTGACCTAAAACACCCATTACAATGCGCTTCCCAACGCTGTTGAGCTGGGGATCAGTTTTCAGCACCTGTTTTTTAAGGAATGTTTTCAAACACCACAGCAGTTACTCTGGGACGCTCTATGAGCTGGATTCCCTACCTCCACTAGGCCTGGAGCCTTGGAATTAGTGTCCTGCGAACATCTTGCTGTTTCAGAGCCTGTCCCACTGTGAGCTCATCACAGACGACGGGATCCTGCACCTCAGCAACAGCACCTGCGGCCACAAGAGGCTGAGGGTCCTGGAGCTGGATAACTGCCTCATCACTGACCTGGCCCTTGAGCACCTGGAGAACTGCCGTGGCCTAGAGCGCCTGGAGCTGTACGACTGCCAGCAGGTCACGCGCGCAGGCATCAAGCGAATGCGGGTAGGTGTGTGCCCCAGGGGTGGGTCTCACCCGGCCTAACGGCTGAGCAAAAGGCTACATCAGGATTCTCTATTTTGTGTTTTTTTTTTTGGTTTTTTTAAAGAAATCCACTTTACTGAGTCACACCCAGCTGTAAACCTGTCACTGAGCCCCACCTGCCCCACCTCCAACCCCCAGGCCACAGAGTCCGCGGTGGAACGCTGGGTGCATGGGAGGGTCACCAGGGTTGGTGCCAAGCAGGGCATCAGGCAGGCGAAGAGGGGAGGGGCTGAGCTCCGGGGTGCAGGTGGCCTGGGACCAGGTGGCCAGCGGAGCCTCTTCCGGGAGCCCCACCTGGCCGGCCTGTCTCAGGGCGCATCTGCTGGGCTGAGGGTGAGCCTGCCCTGCAGTGGTCCTGCCTGCCGGGTTCCTGCTCCGTGTGTGCCTGGCCTCGGGGGACAGGTGACAGCCCCAGCCCATCATTGGGGCTCCTTCCCTGGAGCAGGGGTGCCCCTCTGCTGTCGGCCCTGGATATCCTAAGGCAACAGCTGTGTAAACTGATCTGGTTTACACAGGTGTCGTCTTTAAAATTCCATTGCTTAGGCTCCACTCTGGAAGATTCAACTTGCATGGGTCATATAAGGTGGAGGTTCCATGTAGTCTGGTGATCAGCAACCACATAAGGAAGGTCTCGGTCCAGGGCAGGCAACTTAAGGTCACGTCACTGCCAGCGAGAGGTAGAACAGTGTTGGTTAGTTTCCAGGTAAGAGCATATAACAGAACGTGGCTTTATTTCTGCTTATAGTTTTCACCTACATCATTTTGTTGTTTTGGGTACTGGGGATCGAACTTGGGACCTTAGGCTTCCAAGGCAGGTGACAGAAGCACAGAGCTAAAGCCCGGCCCTCACCTACATCATTTTAAGTTTAGGCATGTTTGCATTTGTAGCCCAGAGCAAAAAGGTCTGGTTACTACAGCTGGATGGAAATGTCCAGTTTGTCTTTAGAAGGCACTGAGGTTGGGTTTTTGGGAGGTATGAGAATGTAATAGCAGCAGTTCTAGTTCTAGAATGTTAAGAGAGTTCTAAGTGAGAATTCCGACCATAACCCTTAAAACGCCAGGGTAAACACTACACCATTTTTTCCTTCTACTTCCAGGCTCAGCTCCCTCATGTCAAAGTCCATGCCTACTTTGCTCCTGTCATTCCACCAACAGCAGTGGCAGGAAGTGGACAGCGACTGTGCAGGTGCTGTGTCATTCTCTGACAGCAGCTGCTCAGGCCCAAGAGTTAATAAAATGTCTGTTCTTCTAGAGAAGACCAGTCTTCCTGAGTACTCCACTGTCACCCACGTCCGTTGGTTCTCCCTTGGGAAAAGGCATTTACAGGTAAAAGACTTCAATGTGAACTGCAGTAACTGGTGACAGTTCTCACCTGCATTGCTGCGATGCAATCAAATCAAGGCCTTGTGTCAGTTAACATGTGGCAACATCGATCTCAGCGAAGCCAAGACCACACGAGAAACCGGGTCCCTTCAGAGGTGGGTATCTATGTGCAAGTCCTACCCTGGGGCTCTATCAGCGTTCCTCAGACAGACCAACAGTGTTAGCACAAATTGAGAGAGAAGATCACCGGATTTTCCACCTGATCCTTAAGCCAGCAGGCTGCGTTAATTCACAATGATTCCATTTCGATGAGCAGAACTTTTTCACTTTGAAGATTAACTTTATCAAAATAACTGTATTATAAATTCATAACACCTCATAATTTTATGTGTAGAAGGTAATGTGGAAGGCATGTTAATTGGTTTCCATGAGACACCAAAGAAAAGAGGACTCCAAACTGGATAGAGTGGGGTCTTTACCTTTCTGTTTGTGTCAATTTGTTCTAACCACCTCCAAGGACCAAAAATTGAACAAACTCAGTTTATGGTGGCTGAATGGAAATTTTAAGCTCTGGCATATGCTACAGCACATAATGCATTTTTGTTTAAGGAAAAAGCTAATTATGTCTATACTTCTCAGCAAATTTGGGGGACTTTGCGGAAGTATAATTAAGGTTTAAGTAATTTATACTATTAAAAATAATGAATAGATGCATGCAGAATGGATGTGATTTTTTTAAAGTTTATTTTAAAATTGTAGAAATCAGGTTACACCAAAACTATTCAAATTTTTACACACTTAAGACTGAGATCAGTAAAGAGTTGGCACCTTTTAGACTTGTAGTGTAAATCACTGCAGTGTTTAATTAATTCAGTGGTTTTTTTTATTGCTATTATCTTATGGCCGACAAATGTGAGCAAAAGTTCAAACCTCCCTAATGTTATGAGATGACCTGTTACCTACTGTGGCGGACTCTTGCTCTGTCCTGTCCACATCTGTGCTAGTTACTGAAGATGAGGAAGACATCACCATCCTCGCTGAACTTGGGCCTTAATTGTGGCTGGCCATTCCTGGCAACCACTACCCAAACTTCAGGGCCAAGAACTCAATAAGAAATAAAACAGCAAAAAACAAGATGTTTTCTATGAGTTTTTGAACAACTTTAGAAGCATTTTAAGTACACTATCTCAGCTGCATTCTAGATAGAGAAGAGGCATATGCCTCCATACAGTGACCTAGCAATATTATCAGAGTAACAATTAAAGGACTGGTTTTATTGCTGACATACTCTAGTATTCTGATCTTAAACTTGTATAAATATTCATACCACTGCTGCCAATTGGAAAGTGACTAATGTAGAAAGCCACTTAAGTAAACAAATGAGTACATAACAGACTCGCTTCAATGATTATGAATTAGGTTCTACTAAAAAATTAATGTCCAGAGTCTTCTAATCTCTCTGAGCTAGGACACAGCCTGTCACAGCTACTGGACTTGATGCCCAGTGACCCATGGCCTCATAAGAAAGCCAGGTTTGCTTCCTTTCTAAGTATGGAACAGTTCGTGGGAAAACATACAAGCCTAATGTCTTCCAATATTTGGACAGGGATAGGCTTGGGGCATACACAGGGAATTCCTTGATTCTGTGATATAAGCAAGAACTGAGATTTTAAATGAGACACACAATTTGCAAAAAGAATCGGAAAACATTTATTATACTGAAATGTGTACATCCTGCTATTAAAAAAACAAAGTAGCAAATTTGCTGGTGCCATAATTTATTTAACCTGTTTCTCTGGACAGACTCTAACTTTCTAATGCCACTGGGTATAATTTCAAGTCTGATAAGCTTGTAAATATTTTTACCCCACATCTAAAACCTGATGAGGATTTGAAAATAGCACACAGCATTAAATGACATTTACTGTTCCATAAATCATGAGTCCCAAAAAGGAATGCTAAATAGACAAGCAAAACTTTCTAAAACAATTAAAACTAAAACTTCTTTCCCAAGTGACTTACAAAAAACATGGTCGCACAAAAGCAAAGGGAGGACGAAAAGGCAAGCTCTCCTGATACAGGTCTATGGGAGTTACAGGTATTTTAAAACCTGACTACTGAGACAGTGCTTCTTTGTAGGGAGTAATTAGCCACTTTTATGAATAAACAGCAAAAACGTTTACTCATCGAAGGAGCTTTGTCACCTGGGAGAGAATTCAAACTCAATCATTCCTATTCCCACCTGAACAAAGATGAGGATCAAATAGTACATCCAAAGCTAAAACTGCTAAGTGGACAGATGCTATGATTAAAATGGAATAAAAGTTTGTTTTTTAAAATTCAGTCTTGATATACCACTGGCTTCAAAATGCTTTCTGATGAATTTTGGGCCGCTTTGGGTGAAGGACAAAGGCAGTAGGAGGAAAAAGTGAAAACAGTAGATTCCATTTGAAAAAAAGTATGCTAGCAGACACATTTTATGAGACACACTATTTTACAGAAAAAGAAACCATTATTTGGTGTATTAGAAGCTCCTAAATCACCAGAATATTTATCCATGATTGTACTGAAGCTCATTACTTGAAGAGACCAAAGGGATTTATTTTCACGGTATATTTTAGTGTTTATGACTCTTAGTGTTTTCATGGATAATTTCATCTTGTTCAAAACAGAGATCCCTTAAAACCAAGTCAGAAGCTACACCAGAAACACTGTTGCCCCTTCTTATGTCGCCAATTTCCAACATCTGGGGCAGGGCTTTTAAAACACTTAAGAACAGAGGAGACAGAGTTGGGGAAGGGGAGGAAAACAGGAAAACCAAAAACTAAAATGCTTTTGGAAGCAGAAGCAAAATTAAGTTTTTCAATAAATCAAAGCAAAATACAAGTCTTTGTACCTATTAGGATTTACACTGATCCTCTTACCAAGGTACTCCTGATAATGCAGTTTGCTTCAAGCCCACCTTCCTGGCTTGAGTCTTCCCTGGTCTGCCATGATCCCATCAGACGCACACCCTTGACACGATTCCTTCCGAGAAGATGCCGAGCCGCTTACCTGGCCACCAAGGCCACATGAGCACAGCATCTCTGAGACAGTTTCCCTTCTGGCTCCACAGTGGCGCTGTCCTCATCTCCTCCCCAGGCCTGTGTGAGGTTCAGGCAATATAAGCCAAACTGGCACAGAGTAAATGCCCACAGTAAGTTTCTACATTCATTTCCAAACCGCATACAGTGTAAGGAGCCAGCAAAGGCAGCTTCTGGGAACCACATGGACGGACTTCTGCTGGAAGCACGAAGCTGTGCCTGCAGCGCAGCCTCCAGGGCTGGATGCAGCCGCCCACACACGCTCTCTCTCACGAGGACGCTGGGCTTCGCTGTGACAGGGAGGTGGTGGTCTGCCTCGCATATCAGCTCATAAGAAAAGTCATCTTGTGTTTTCAATATGAAACATTTCATTCTGTAAAATCCAATCCCAAGACTTCTTGGATTCAGTCTTCACACACGTTTAAGTGTGACTATTTGGTACTGAATATAGTTCAGTCTGTGTAAGAGATCACTTTAAGATTATGTGGATACCATCATTATTTTCAGCTGCAAAAAAAGTTAAACATTTTAAACCAGTCTTAGGAAATCAAGCATATTAAAAAACTCTGAAATCTACAATCCTCCACCCCAACTCGTTAACTTTAATATTTGAGAAAATGATAGATTTTAACCTAGCTCTTTTTTCAGGGGAAGGGGGTTGAGACAAAGTCTCACTGTGTAGCTCGGGCTGGCCTTGAACTCACTAGTGCTGGTGCTGGGATTACAGGCGTGCATGAACATGCCCAGCAACTCTAGCTCTTAAGACTTCACATCCACATTCTTTAGACACCGTGACTGGCTTGAGAAATGCCCAAGAGATCAGCTGAGTCACACGAATGTTCTTGGAGACTGATCTGGTCCCTGGCTGCTGCCGCTCTGGCTCTCCCCATACCTCCCTTCCTGGCTGAGGTGAGGAGAGCAGCTGTCCTCTTCCATGGGCTTCTGCTATGAGGTCTCTACCTTGGAGCCAGTCAAGCACAGGCTGAACGAACTTTTGAAACCATGAGCCACAACAAACCTCTCCTGTAGATGTCAGTTATTTTGTCCCTGTGGCAGAAAAGCTAACTCACACAGTAATTCTGCTTTTTGAAGCCTTGCTGTTCTACTAGTACCCATACCATACTGCTTGCCAGTTCTGCAGGGCAGGCATCCATCAAAACAAAGACAAGTACTGTAACCAAGAGGAAGAGCACGGGATGGCAGCACAGCCAGCAACAACAGAGGACAGAGGGCAAAGCCAATCCTACACTCAATACACAGATAACCCAGGGGTGCGACTGTCAATGTGGACATCTCTGGAAAAATTGCTGAGTGCTTCATAGATTTGAAATACCAATGTCTCTTTATATACAGATACATGTGTATTTATGGCTATCTCACAAGGCTGGGAGTGTGGCTCAAAGATACAGCACTTGTTTATTAGCAAGCATACGGACGGAGCTCAATCCCAAGCATCAGAAAACAAAAACACTTTTGCCCAAGGGCCTCAGTAAACAATGAGAATCAGTACATGTATAGACAAATGAAAATTTACATGTCAACAAAGCCTGAGAAATTGCAAACTAATATTGGAGAGGAAATCCTATGTTGGACACCAGAGAACACAACATTTTGAGTTTTCCTTTTTTAGACAATGTAAATTTTGCAACATAAAAGAGTTTTGAGAACAAAACATGTTACAGAAATGTATTGAGTCAAAGATGTTTTTGAGGGCTGGGGATTTAGCTCAGTGTTTCTGCCACCTACTTTGCAAGCACAAGGAGTTCAATCCCTGGTACCAAAAAAAAAGATGTTTCTGAAAATAAAGTGAGTTAAGTCAAAATTCAGCCTTGTGGATAACTTGATGGCACATGTAACAGGCTCAAAATGAAATTATAATTTCAACATTGTTTGAGGCCACTCCTTTCAAGAGTAACTACTAGGAAAAGACACGTGACATCTACCTCATCTAGGGGCAATTTCTGTGCTAAGACTGGTTCTTAAATAGACTTTAAAAACAGTCTATGAATGTATAATCTCTCTTCAAATAATACTACCTTTAGTAATCCTGTCTCTAACCATTTAACAGCACCCACCTGAGCCCAGTTTGGGCTTTTTCTCGACTAAGTGACTGTAACAACTTGAACAGCTTCTAGTCATTCTTGATAGTTTGAAGGCTTTCAAATTTTTATGTCAAGCTCAGGCCTCTTTAACTGGGTCCCAGAATGATACAATTTACTGTTTGCTTGACATCGCTACCTGCCTAAAATGAAACTCTTTTTTGATCTGTTCCAATTTTTTTTTCTTTCATGAGGCTACTACAAGCCAGTCACTCTCAACAAAAAAACAACAATCACAACAATCACAACTCCTCCATCAAATGTGAGCCCAATGAGGCCCTTTCTATAAATCTGTTAGGTCCCATTACCATTCATCTGCATAGTATTCTCCTGCCTCCACTTTTGGCACCTTCTTATCTGTCTCCTGAGTTGTAAGGAAAAAAATCTAATTACATTACTCCTTTGTGTAAACAGCTTTACTAACCTTCCACATCATTTCAAATAAAATCCAAACTACCATCATCACTACCCCTGCATTCAGCCTTAACCCTGCCTTGCTCTACTCACCTCACCCTCTGCACACAGCTGCACAGCACAGCAGCTGTATGTATGGCCCTCTCCCAGGCCTGCACAGAAGCCAAGTGCTTCATTGCAATGGGACACCACTCTTGTGGCCAGCTCCCCATTCAAGTCAGAGAAGCCTTCTAGGGATATCTGGGCTGGGGTGGAACAAACAGTAATAACTTCCAGCCCAGTTGCTCTTTCTCCAAAAGCATCTCACACGGTGCTTCACTTCAAATACCGGAAGGCAAAAAAAAAAAAAAAAAAAAAAAAAC